ATAAGTGTCTCCTTTTTATATACTTTTCCTTGTTTTTTCCCTGTGTCCCCTTTTGCCACAATTACTAATATATTATAATTATTATATTATTACTATTTATTTATATTTATTTATTTATTTATTTATTTATTTATTTATTTATTTATTTATTTATTTATTTATAGGTTCCTCTTATCCTAACTTTGGTGACGACGAGAGAAATAATTTATCAGGAAGTAAAGATGGCGCTTCTCTTAATCCTTTTATTCAACCCTCTACCTCTCGTAAGCTCCTGTCTCCTTTTTGTCTCCTTTTTTGTCTCCTTTTTTTTGTCTCCTTTTTTGTCTCCTTTTTCTCCTTTTATTCAACCCTCTACCTCTCGTAAGCTCCTGTCTCCTTTTTTGTCTCCTTTCTTGTCTCCTTTTTTGTCTCCTTTTTTTTGTCTCCTTTTTTGTCTCCTTTTTCTCCTTTTATTCAACCCTCTACCTCTCGTAAGCTCTTGTCTCCTTTTTTGTCTCCTTTTTTTTTCTTATGTGTCTCCTTTTATTCAACCCTCTACGTTTCTTTAGTGTCTCCTTTTTTCTCTATTTATTATTTTTATTGTTATTATGTTGCGGTGTCTGTGCAGTGCCAGGAGATCGGCTAGGGACTATGTGGGTAAGTCTCTATGCATGCACGCAAATACATGCATGCACGCCGATACATGCATGCATGCAAATATGTGCATGCATGCATGCATGCATGCATGCATGCATGCATATATCTGTATAATATTTAATGTACCTAATATATAAGTATATATAAGTATAAATATATATATTTATTATATATTATTATTAGTATTTATATTATTTGTGTATAGGGTACTGGAGGAGACACTGCTGCTGTCTCTGGTACAGAGGGAGGATTAGGTAGAGGTGTCTCCTTTTCTACTGAGCGTCAGCATGGACAGGAGACACCTGGTGGTATAAATTCAACACCATCAACTCCTCGTTGGTCCTCAGCAGGAACAGCAACAGGAGCAGCAGCAGGAGCAGCAGCAGCAGCAGCAGGTACAGCAGCAGGAGGAGCAGGAACACCATCATCATCAGCAACACCAATATCATCAGCAACACCAACTGCAACAACACCAACAGCAGCAGCAGCAGCAGCAGCAGCAGCAGCATTAACTTCCCATTCCCCTGTATCGGGATCGTTATCTCCTGTAGGGGGATCGTCGTCTCCCCGATCCCCATCTGTGCATTCCCTTGAGCGTCCCCCTTCTCGTGGTCTAAGGAGTTACTCAACACTGTCCTCCTCTGCAGGAGGAGACAGCAGCACAGGAGGAGACAGCAGCAATATAGGCATGACTACTAAACAATTAACAAGAGCTTATGCTAGACAAGAAAGTGTCTCTCGTGTCTTAGCCTTTGCTCGTGATGGTCTGCAGACAGCAGTAAGGGAGACAGCAGACCTAAAGAGACAGGAGATAGCTCGTCGTGTGCATGCACAGCTGCTACGTGAGCAGCTGCAGCAGCAGCAGCAGCAACAGCAACAACAGCAGCAACAGCAGCAACAACAACAGCAACAGCAGCAACAGCAACAGCAGCAACATTTATATACTGCATCTAGTTCTGTATGGTCATCACAAGAAGAATTAGGTGGTGGTGGTGGTGGTGCTGCTGCTGCTGCTGCATGCAGCAGCAATAACAGCAGCAGCAGTAACTGTCTCCCTTCTGCAGCAACTATCTCCTCTTTTCCTCCCCAATTCCGATTTGCTGCTGCACATAATGCAGATCTACGCTACCCTCCTCCTACTGTCTCCTGTCTCCCTCGCTCTGTCTCCAGCAGCACAAGACACTCCCCTAGGGGTCTCCTTACTAAGAGGACGGTGACCTCCGCAGACACCCGAGGGAGATGTCATGATTTTAGGACTAGTAAAACTACTATTACAGGTATTTATTTATTTATTTATTTATTTATTTATTTATTTATTTATTTATTTATTTTATTTGTTTATTTGTGATCCTGCATGCATGCATGCATGCATATTGGGTGGGTGGGTGTGCTGTTGTTGCTGCTTTTTGCATGCATGAATGCATGCATGAATGCATGTTTGTTGTTTATGTTGCTGCATGCATGCATGCATGCATAAATGTATATGCATGCAGAGCCATCCTTAACAACACAAGGATCAGGTGTACATAGGGCTGGTGGTGTATGGCGAGTAGCGAATGATTTCTTCCTCCATGTTGGATCAGAGGCGCATGCAAAATTAGCGGGGCTGTTAAAGGCAATAGGAACTAATGGGTATAATAATTAACCCTAATAAACCCTAAACCCTAAACCCTAAACCCTAGCAAATAGAGGGACAAACCCTATACAGTACTATTCTTCCTTAGTTTATTATGTAAGAAGTTCCTTATTTATCTACATGCATGCATGCATGCATGCATGTATGCATGCATGCTGTTGTTTGGGGCTTGCAGGAAAGAGGAAGAAAATGTTGCTGATGTTGGTGCAGAGGATGAGGATAACTTTGGTAAGATATATCTATACTTATATATATACAAAATATAGATAAATAAATAAATATAAATATAAATAAATATAAATAAATACAAATAAATAAATATAAATAAATAAATAAATAAATAAACATATACATAAATATATAAATACATCCCCCTCTCTCCAATCCCCCACCCTCCTCCCCGACCAATACCCTCCCCAGAAAAAAAAAAAAAAAAAAAAAAAAAAAAAAAAAAAAAAAAAAAAAAAAAAAAAA